GTGAGTCAGTGAAAAAAAGAAACATTGTAGTTGTGGGATTTCACTTTTATCTTTAAAGGGTGATGTTTGTTGAGTTATGCATGTGTGACATTTGTGTTGATAAATATTGATTTTCCCACAATCCAATGCGCTTTTCTAATGAAAATCACAACTATAAGGTGTACCTGAAAATGATCGATTTAACAAAATATCATTAAAAATTGGACTATTATAATAGAGATATTGATTTCTTCCATGATACAGTGAAGGCCACAAAACTGGGGTCATTATAATAAACATTTCCTACATTTTTATAAATTAAAATGGATGTTCAAATTGATCAATCTGAAGATTGTGACATCAATATTAGTTATAGTTAATGAGATAGTTCAACATTATCCATTCTGCTTTATTTTAATCAAGTGAGTTGCCATAGTTTCTATGTAATGTGAAGGCAAGTGTATACACACTTCAGACAAATACTATTATATATTTCAATTGGAATGAAAGCTGATGATTGGTATTTGAAATTTGTCTTTAATTATGTTTATAAGCCCCAGCTTTGTGACTTTCACTGTGTCATTTTTTTAAAATGATTATTACCTGTGAATAATTTCAATTTTTTCCTGCAATAATTCCATGGAAAATCCCTCACGGAAAGACAGATGAAAATTATAGAGATCTCTGTCAACAAAACTCTGGGATAATTTATGCAGACTCTGATCACTTTTCTGTGCGAGTCTTCCAAAGAGAAAATAAAATGACATGTACTTTAGAGGTCTCTGGATGCTGTCGCTTAGCAACAGCCACTTATGCATAGCCTCCTGTCCAATTCTAGAGAAATAAATGGAAATGAAATGAAATAAAGCATGCATCCATCATCAACAGTTTTATAATAATATGTAAAGGTTTTATTGACATAAAATCAATTTTATCAAATAATTAATAATAAACTGAAAAGTGAAAAGAAATCAACGCAAAATTAAGATTGAATTTAGTGAAAATTACAAAAAATGTGATCAAATTTACTCAAATTCAAGCAAAAAAAATTTTGCATTCGAAAGGATAAGTAAAGTATGAGGTTCTTTCATTTTATCAATGTAAGTCGGTTGTCAGCCATTGTGGTTATTTTGACAATCATCTTTACTTCAGAAGATTGGGACAAAAATAGCAAACTTTTATTGAATCAAATCTGAAAATTGACTAAAATTTTGTCTGTTGACTCCAAAATTAGGGCTCATTCTAAGAAATATTGAAGATTATAAAAAAAAATTAGAAAACTTTAGGCGAGAAAGTCCGGTGATGAAAAGGAAAAAAGCAAGCTTTACTAAATCCTCCATGTTTAAAATTACTTTTGTGAATAGTGTTTCATGGAATTAAAAACTGGCATAGTTGGTAACAGGATTACCTGCTTCTAGGTTTCAGTCGTGGTTCTGGGAAATGTTTTTCTAAGTATTTCACGATATCATTAGTCTCTGTGATTGTGACACCATCATGGATTAGCACCGGAACTAAACCATTGGGATTGATTTCCAGGAATTCTTCAGTCAGGTTTTCCTCCTTAGCCAGATTAATGTGGTGGTCGAACCAGTGTAAATGCTTCTCTGCTAAATAAAACCTAACCTGTTAAAATTAAGATATAAAACATTTGATGAAAGAATTGAATCATTTCTACATAAGTAAGGCAACGCATGTACCATTCCAAACATTCCGATCGAGAAATGGATAATGATAAAAACAATGGTTTGCTTCTTCTTGTAGAGAAAATTGAAAAATGATGTTGTGAGACTGTTTTAATGTTTTTCATATTTTTGAATACCACAAGACATGTATAACATCCTCTGAGGTAGCGTATTACATCAGGATTTATACTGCCTAATTTTAGAGAAAAAAGAAACAATAAAAAATCAATCTTGGCTATTGCATCTCTATCCATTTCATAACTAGAAAACAATGTTACAGAAAATGTAATTTCTGTAGTCTGTATGGTTTAAATAATAACTGGGTTTTATTTCCACTTCTTTCTGTGATAGCTATATGTGTTAAATTAAAAACCAACTTAATATGTTAACAATGCAATGTACTGTCAAATAATTTGTATGTTAACAATGCAATGTACTGTGAAATAATATGTATGTTAACAATGCAATGTACTGTGAAATAATATGTATGTTAACAATGCAATGTACTGTGAAATAATATGTATGTTAACAATGCAATGTACTGTGAAATAATATGTATGTTAACAATGCAATGTACTGTGAAATAATATGTATGTTAACAATGCAATGTACTGTGAAATAATATGTATGTTAACAATGCAATGTACTGTGAAATAATATGTATGTTAACAATGCAATGTACTGTGAAATAATATGTATGTTAACAATGCAATGTACTGTGAAATAATATGTATGTTAACAATGCAATGTACTGTGAAATAATATGTATGTTAACAATGCAATGTACTGTGAAATAATATGTATGTTAACAATGCAATGTACTGTGAAATAATATGTATGTTAACAATGCAATGTACTGTGAAATAATATGTATGTTAACAATGCAATGTACTGTGAAATAATATGTATGTTAACAATGCAATGTACTGTGAAATAATATGTATGTTAACAATGCAATGTACTGTGAAATAATATGTATGTTAACAATGCAATGTACTGTGAAATAATATGTATGTTAACAATGCAATGTACTGTGAAATAAT